CCAAAGCCAGGACCCAGGTGCTTCCTCCTGGTCTCCCATGGCAGTGCAGGGCCCAAGGACCTGGGCCACAGCAGAGAGCTGGACTGGAAGAGGAGCAACCGGGACAGAATACGGCGCCCCAACCGGGACTAGAACCCGGGGTACCAGCGCCGCAGGCAGAGGATTAGCCAAGTGATCCGTGGCGCTGGCCTTTATTTGTACTTTCAAAGACCCGTGAATCTAAAATGTCATAGTCAAATCCAAAAATGACTACTCATTTGGGGTTTCAGAGACCTGGTCTCCAGTCCTGGTTCTCAGCTAAACAGATGTGGACCTCTCTCCCCTCCAGTTTCTTCTTCTTTAAAGCCGGAGGCATCACAATATCAGATTTCAGGACATACTACAGGGCAGTTGTTATCAAAACAGCATGGTACTGGTACAGAAACAGATGGGTAGATCAGTGGAACAGAATAGAAACACCAGAAATCAATCCAAACAGCTACAGCCAACTTTTATTTGATCAAGGATCCAAAACCAATCCCTGGAGTAAGGACAGTCTATTCAATAAATGGTGCTGGGAAAATTGGATTTACACGTGCAGAATCATGAAGCAAGACCCTACCTTTCACCTTACACAAAAATTCACTCAACATGGATTAAAGACTTAAATCTACGATGCGACACAATCAAATTATTAGAGAGCATTGGAGAAACCCTGCAAGATATAGGTACTGGCAAAGACTTCTTGGAAAAGACTCCAGAAGCACAGGCAGTCAAAGCCAAAATTAACTATTGGGATTGCATCAAATTGAGAAGTTTCTGTACTTCAAAAGAAACAGGAAAGTGAAGAGGCAACCGACAGAATGGGAAAAAATACTTGCAAACTATGCAACAGATAAAGGGTTGATAACCAGAATCTACAAAGAAATCAAGAAACTCCATAACATCAAAACAAACAACCCACTCAATAGATGGGCCAAGGACCTCAATAGACATTTTTCAAAAGAGCAAATGCAAAGGGCCAATAGACACATGAAAAAATGTTCAAGATCACTAGCAATCAGGAAAATGCGAATCAAAACCACAATGAGGTTTCACCTCACCCCGGTTAGAATGGCTCACATTCAGAAATGTACAAACAATAGATGCTGGAGAGGATGTGGGGAAAAAGGGACACTAACCCACTGTTGGTGGGAATGCAAACTGGTAAAGCCACTATGGAAGTCAGTCTGGAGATTCCTCAGAAACCTGAATATAACCCTACCGTACAACCCAGCAATCCCACTCCTTGGAATTTACCCAAAGGAAACGAAATTGGCAAACAAACAAGCTGTCTGCACATTAATGTTTATTGCAGCTCAATTCACAATAGCTAAGACCTGGAACCAACCCAAATACCCATCAGCAGTAGACTGGATAAAGAAATTATGATACATGTACTGTATAGAATACAGCAATCAGAAACAATGAAACCCAGTCATTTGCAACAAGATGGAGGAATCTGGAAAACATTATGCTGAGTGAATTAAGCCAGTCCCAAAGGGACAAATATCATATGTTCTCCCTGATCGGCAACAACTGAGCACCAAAGGGGAAACCTGTTGAAATGAAATGGACACTATGAGAAACAGTGACTTGATCAGCTCTTGTCCTGACTGTTGATGTACAATGCAATACTTTATCCATTTTAGTTTTTTTTTTTTTTTGTTCTAGTACTATTGGTTGAACTCTGTAATTAACACACAATTATTCTTAGGTGTTTAAATTTTAACTGAAAAGTGATCCCTGTTAAATATAAGAGTGGGAATAAGAGAGGGAGGAGATGTACAATTTGGGACATGCTCAATCAGACTTGCCCCAAATAGTGGAGGTAGAAATGTGCCTGGGGATTCCAATACAATCTCATCAAGGTGGCATGTACCAATGCCATCTCACTAGTCCAAGTGATCAACTTCAGTTCACAATTGATCACACTGATAGGTCTAAGAGTCAAAGGGATCACACAAACAAGACTATTGTCTGATAATACTAACTGATAAAATCAAAAAGGGAGAGAACGATCCAACATGGGAAGTGGGATACACAGCAGACTCATAGAATGGCAGATGTCCTAAATAGCACTCTGGCCTCAGAATCAGCCCTTAAGGCATTCAGATCTGGCTGAAGAGCCCATGAGAGTATTTTAGGCATGGAAAGCCAAGACACTCTGGGAAAAAAAAAAAAAAAGAGAAGACCTAAATGAAAGATCTCTGCAAGTGAGATCCCAGTGGAAAGAATTGGGCCATCAAAGAAGGAGGTACCTTTCTCTTTTGTTTTATTTTATTTTTATTTTATTTATTTATTTTTATTTTTTGACAGGCAGCATGGACAGTGAGAGAGAGAGAGAGAGAGACAGAGAGAAGGTCTTCCTTTGCCATTGGTTCACCCTCCAATGGCCGCCACGGTCGGCACACTGCGGCCGGCGCACTGCGCTGATCTGATGGCAGGAGCCAGGTACTTATCCTGGTCTCCCATGGGCTGCAGGGCCCAAGTACTTGGGCCATCCTCCACTGCACTCCCTGGCCACTGCAGTGAGCTGGCCTGGAAGAGGGGCAACTGGGACAGAATCCGGCGCCCTGACCAGGACTAGAACCGGGTGTGCCAGTGCCACAAGGTGGAGGATTAGCCTAGTGAGCCGTGGCGCTGGCTTGTACCTTTCTCTTAAGGTAGGAGAGAACTTCCACTTTGACTATGACCCTATCTGAATAAGAGCGAAGTTGGCGAACTCAAAAGGCTTCCATAGCCTTGGCAACTCATGACTAGAGCCTAGGGAGATTTCTGATACCATAAACAAGGTGGAGGATTAGCCTAGTGAGCCGCGGCGCCGGCCAAACATTCTTAAATGTTTCTTTTTGAAAAGATATGCACTCATTTAGTTGGAGTGATTGTTCAAAGTTCATTACTATTTATTGTACTTATGGTAGCAGAGTACTTATTTTACCTATTGACATACATTTCAATATAGGAGCCCAGCATGATCATATTACTGTCTGGAATTGTACAATGACAGCTTTAGATATTTTTCCTTTGTTCTAAAAGAAATGAAACAGTATGGACATATAAGTTCTTCTTTTTAAAACATTGATTTATTAGGTTTATTAGCTCTTTTCAAAAATATTTATTCATTTATTTCTTTTTCTTTTATTTTTTTTTTTTAGGGAAAAGGTCTATTGACAGAGGAAGTCCGATATGCTGTAGTGAAGGGCTGAGGAAGAGAGAGGCAGGGATTGGAAAAGAGATCAACAGAGAGAGAGGGTGAAGAAGAAACAGAGAGATCTGGAGAGAGGGCACGTGTGCAGGAAGCAAGCCTTATTACACCTGTGCAGGGGGCGGGGAAATAGGAGCAGCAAATCTCATTCGGGTGGGGGTGGAGCTGATACCTGCGGCTGGGCCATTTGGTCACCTGGCTTCTATTTTTTTTTTAAATTTATTTGAAAGGCAGAATTAGAGAGAGAGAGAGAGGAAGAGACACACACAGAAAGAGAGATGTTGCATCCACTGGTCCACTCACCAAATGACTGATTTCTTAGGTTGGGCCAACCTGAAGCCAGGAGTCCAGAACTTCATCATAGTCTCCCATGTGGGTTAAAGGGGCCCAAGCACTTATGCCATCTCATGCTACTTTCCCAGGTGCCTTAGCAGGAAGCTGGATCAGAACCAGCATCTTTGGTGTTACATGCAGAAGTTTAAATCCGCTGTGCCATAATGCTGGCCCAGGTTTATTTGCTTTTAAAAAGGCTTTACTAGGAAACTTGGCATTTGTTTTAGTGTGCATATTTTAATAAAAAGTTTCTGAGGTGGGAAAAGACGGTAACTGTTCTCATTCTGCAGCACCTCTAAATCACCCAGCTCTAAATCACCTGGGACAGCCAGGGTGCTGTGTCGTCTTGGAGGAGGTACAGGGCTCTCCAGAGTGGACTCTGTTAGCCAGCTCCATAGGGCAGCTTTCATTCTCCTTGTTCTCTGCAACATCAGGTTGCTGATGACTTCCTTGTTGAACATTCCTTTCCCTTGTTCTTTTTTTTTCCAGATTTTTTGTATTTTTAATGGACATCCACTTGAAAGCAAGTCAACTTTAGTATCAATTTAGTTTAAAAGATTTTCCAGCTGCCTAGTGTATTTCAATTAAATGCCATATCCACAATGCTTTAAAACTATAGGAAAAATAATTAAAGGTTCTACTCAGTATTATCAATACTTTGTAGAGTGGTATGCAAATCACTTGAGAAGCCATGTTAAAAGTTTCACTTGAACACATCATAATGATCAACAGGCAACTTTCTGACTTCTTAGAGCACTAATGTGCTCCCCAAAGCTGCCTCTGCTGCTTTTCTCTCTTCATCCTCTAATACAGTCTCACATGTGATCAGTCAGGAAATGCAGTCTGAGGTGTTGTCAACCAAGAAAGACCTACAGTAAGCACAGCTTGTTGCATAAAATCATATCAATAATAATATCTGTGCCTCAGAAGACAGTCCATTTCTTTTCCTTTCCTTGTTTAAAACTCAGGTCTGAAAAGGGAGGTAAGGTTTAAAATTAGAAGTTTTCCTGGGTATCTCCACAAGTTTCCTACTTTATTTTGGGATAAAGGAGGGAGCAACACATTGAAAGAAGCTGATCATAAAGGAACTGTTCAGAAGAAAAGAATGGTCACAGCTAGAAGCAAAACACTAGCCAAGCGCTGGCATGTTGTGATCTGCAGCCTGAGGAGAGGGCTCGCCTGCAGGGCTACAGATTTAGTGTGAGCGACTCTTCCTTCAAAGATAAAATCTTATCAGTCCCAACAAACCCCACGGACTACATTATTGAACAGAACCTCCACACAACCCATGAACTAGACTGCTGAGTAGAACCTTTACTATTCTGCTCCTCCTTTCCAAGTTACTCTTGTGACAGAGAAAGCACCCAAATGTCCTTAGCCCAAAAACAAGCCATTTCCTTCAGCTGAAGATCTCTGGATCACCTCTAAAAAATAACCAGCTTATTCAAACAACGATTGTTATTTCATATTACAACTGACTGTAATCTTAGTTAATTTATAAATAACTTTAAAACCTTATGAATGAAATGCACCAAACTACACCTGTGTAAAAGCGATCATGTTTTAATTATGAGCTAAAAATGACTAATACTGTGAGCCTGAATTAGAGAAATTAAGATTCTAAATAAACTGCTAGGGAATTTCACAATGGGGGCCAATGAAAATTATTCTCTACATACAATAAGATCATTAACATACTAGTAACTCTTATTTGGAATGATAAGGCAAAAATAGTAAAACCAAACTTCTCCTATAAAAAGTTACACAATCTCTTCTGAAGGGGCAGCTATTGTACACAGAGAAACAGAGGAAGAAGTGATCACTCCATTGCACACCCAGGAACATTAGGGCCTCCGTCTCAGAATGATCTAGTCATCTTCTTCCTCTCCATCGTCTTCAGCATCTCGTTTCCTCTTCTCCCCTCGAAGACACTCTTCTTCTTCATCTTCCTCTTCTTCCCCTTCTTCGACATAGTCATCATCATCTTCTTCATCCTGAATTTCATCTTTCATTAAGTATGAGAGGCCCACTTCTTCTCCCTCTCCCACTTCTGAGCCTGCTTCATCCTCATCCTCATCCTCCTCTTCTTCTTCCTCCTCTTCCTCAAATCCTTCAGGTGGACCGGCTTCATCTTCTTCTTCATCATCATCTTCATTACCATGCTTGTCATCCTCTTCTTCAGAGTCTGGGGCTTCGTTATCCTCCTGATCAAACCCATCCAAGTATGTGGTTTGCTGCAGCAGTTCAAAAATGCTTCCTCTGTAATCTTCCAGGTTTGTGATCTCACAGTTAAACAAGTCAAGACTTTTCAAATTTTTAAGATTTTGCAGAGCTTCAACCGTACTGAGATCTTTGATTTTGTTTCCACTCAGATTGAGGTAGGTAAGATTTGGGCATTTCTCTGCCAGGACTTCCAAGCCTCCAGAAATTATATTGTCACTAAGTTCCAGCTTTCGAAGTTTATTTAAACTGGGAAGCTGGGCCAAAGAACTGAGTTCCACATTAGCCATACTCAGAAACTCCAGTTCTTTAAAAGTATCATTCAGACCTTCAATCTCCCCATTGACACAAAGGCAGTTATCAAGGACTAACTCTGTCACCTCCTCCGGGGCTCTGTTCCTTAACTCCAGGTTAATCCTCTTCTTCATCTCCATGTCCTCCTCCTGCTCTTCTGCGACTACTCTCCTCCCTACCCCTTTCCTACCCCCAACCCTAAAAAATTTTTAAAGATTTGGAAATGAATGAAAAGAAATGCAAATATAAATGCCTACTACCACCAGATAGGTGTGAAGGAGAAAGAAAAGAATAGCAAATGGAGTCCAAGGAGTTGGGACTCTAACTCAGCTGCCCCCACCTCCTTGTCCACACACCCGCGCGTGCACACACACGCTCCCACACATACACACATACACACACACACACGCACACACATGGAGCCGCAGTTCCTTCCCCTTCAATGGCTGCTCAGAGACTCTTCCCTTGTTCTTACCTGAACCTGTATGATTCTTGCTTTTCTAATCTAAGTTTCTCTCTGATGGTTCCCAGACTTATTGTTTTCTCTTCATTTCCAGATGCTTTGATTCTACTCTCATGAATTTTTATATATTCTTCTGTTCATGTTCTGTAATTACAGGATATACACATACATTCATAATTAGTAGACAGCATGTTTTTGGGTACATATGAGGGTCCTTCATAAAGTTCAAAAGGGGCAGCTGTTTGACCCAGTGGTTAAGAAGCCCATGTCTGGAAAGCCAAGACACTCTGGCAAAAAAAAAAAAAAATGACCTAAATGAAAAATCTCTGTGAGTGAGATCCCAGTGGAAAGAACGGGGCCATCAAAGAAGAAGGTACCTTTCTCTGAAGGGAGGAGAGAACTTCCACTTTGACTATGACCTTGTCGAAATAAGATCGGAGTTGGCGAACTCAAAAGGCCTCCATAGCATTGGTAACTCGTGACAAGAGCCTAGGGTGATTACTGACGCCATAAACAAGAGTGTCAATTGTTAAATCAACAACAGGAGTCACTGTACACTTACTCATCATGTAGGATCTCTGTCCTTAATGTGTTGTCCAATGTGAAGTAATGCTATAACTAGTACTCAAACAGTACTTTACACTTTGTGTTTCTGTGTGGGTGCAAACTGTTGAAATCTTTACTTAATATATACTAAATTGATCTTCTGTATATAAAGATAATTGAAAATGAATCTTGATGTGAATGGGATGGGAGAGGGAGCGGGAGATGGGATGGTTGAAGGTGGGAGGGAGGTTATGGGGGGGAAAAGCCACTGTAATCCAAAAGTTGTACTTTGGAAATTTATATTTATTAAATAAAAGTTAAAAAAAAGAAGCCCATGTCCATAATGGAGCACCTGCCTCTTGGCTTTGCTCTTGATGTCAGTTTCCTGTGAATGTGTACCCTGGTAAGCAACAGGTGGGTCCTTGCTACCCACAATGGAGATCCACAGTGAGTTCCCTGCTCCTGGCTGCAGCCTCAGTGAACTGGCAGTGAGAGAGAGAGAAACAGAGAGAAAGGTCTTCCTTCCATTGGTTCACGCACCAAATGGCTGCTATGGCTGGAACTGCGGCGATCTGAAGCCAGGAGCCGGGTGCTTCTTGCTGGTCTCCCACGCGGGTGCAGGGGCCCAATCATGTGAGCCATCCTCCACTGCCCTCCCGGGCCACATCAGAGAGCTGGACTGGAAGAGGAGCAGCCGGGACTAGAACCTGGCGCCCATATGAGATGCCGGCGCTGCAGGCGGAAGATTAATCAAGTGAGCCACGGTGCTGGCCCTCCATAGATACAATTCTAAGATTATAATGATACTTCCCTGTTTACTTGTTTTTGAGTAAAATATGTTATATATAAACTTTTTAAAGACCTCTCATATCTATGAATTCTAAAATTTTCTCATAAATAGCAACATGGTGTAAATATTGTTATGCGATATTTTCCCCCATTAATGATTACATTTTGGGGATATTTGCTTTGGTGCATATATGCCTTGTTCATCATTGCTTTTACGAAGTCTAGGGTATGCCATTACATAAATGTGCCGTACACATGCATCTGTTTTTCTAACAAGATTTGATTGCTTTAAAGTTTTCACAGCTGTTCATCACCTACAAAACTTAATCGATTAGCTCTCCTCCTTGCCTTACATTGTGTTTCCCTATAGAAGATGGTTAATCCATTCTTCCTCTTTGAACTGTGCACACTGCTGGCTTCCTCAAAGAATATTTTACAAAGCAAAATCCAGTCTGGGACAATACTCTCTTCTCACCTTCTTCACACTAAGTCTATATCAACTCTCTTTCCGTCTGGTTGCACTGGAACAAGTGTACCACCTCCAACTGCCTCGAAAAAGCTCTTGTTCTCATTTTTTTCCTTCTCTGTCAAGACACTGCTTCTTTTAGAATGCCTTTCTTAGAAATATATGCCAGAATACAATAAATCACCTAATTTTTTTCCTTCTCATGATTCTGTTTACATGAAGTATAAAATCAAGCAAACTATTGAAATCTTTTTTTTAACTTTTATTTAATGAATATAAATTTCCAAAGTACAGCTTATGGATTACAATGGCTTTTCCCCCATAACGTCCCTCCCACCCGCAACCCTCCCCTTTCCCACTCCCTCTCCCCTTCCATTCACATCAAGATTCATTTTCGTTTCTCTTTATATACAGAAGATCAGTTTAGCATACATTAAGTAAAGATTTCAACAGTTTGCTCCCATACAGAAACATAAAGTGAAAAATACTGTTTGAGTACTAGTTATAGCATTAAATCTGAATGTACAGCACACTAAGGACAAAGATCCTACATGAGGAGTAAGTGCACAGTGACTCCTGTTGTTGACTTAACAAATTGACACTCTTGTTTATGGCGTCAGTAATCACCCTAGGCTCTTGTCATGAGTTGCCAAGGCTATGGAAGCCCCCTGAGTTCACTGACTCTGATAATTTTTAGACAAGGCCATGGTCAAAGTGGAAGTTCTTTCCTCCCTTCAGAGAAAGGTACCTCCTTCTTTGATGACCCATTCTTACATAGTATATATTAAATTGATCTTCTGTATATAAAAATAATTGAAAATGAATCTTGATGTGAATGGAATGGGAGAGGGAGTGGGAGATGGGAGGGTTGCAGGTGGGAGGGAGGTTATGGGGGTGAGGAAAGCCACTGTAATCCATAAACTGTACTTTGGAAATTTATATTTGTTAAATAAAAGCTAAAAAAAATCAAACAAAACTAAACTGGTGAGTCTGGAGATTGGGGGTGGAAGGGAAGTCAAGAGTACCCCAGGATAATGGGTGTTCTTGTTTTCCACCTGGCCAACACTTGCTCTGTGATGACATATGGGGTCTACATTTGGGCTGTGTGCATACTTCTCTGTATGGCTTACGCTTCACTAAATGTTACACTCAAATTTCATTTTCAAGAGCAGTGGATGGAAGATTTCCGTCTCCTCTCTCTGCCTTTCACAGATGAAAATATAAGTACATAAGCATTTAAAAAAAGAGTTTTTGAAGAATTGTCAGCACATTCCATCTGTACTTCCTTCCTTCTTGTTCACTATTTGTCCCTCTCAACTGAAAGGTCTGTTTAAGGCTAAGGATACCAAGGCTCTCAGCTCTGCTTTTTCTTATTTTGAGATGATCCTCTCTGTTTCCACATTATAAATAGTGCCTCAACTTTCATAACTTCTGAATGTACTGTTGTGACTTAGACCTCTGAGTTCAAATTATGTCTGACCATCTACCTGACCTCTTCATTTGGCTATCTTGTAAGCATGGCACCCTCGTTTGTATCAGAATTCCTATGTTCCATTCCACCATAAAGCTGGAAATCAAATCCCATTCCTTCCTTGTTTGAAACATTTTAACTTTTCCAATTACACTTAAGGTAAAAGTAAATCTCCTTAAGATGACCTAAAAGTCCCTGCCTGGCGAACCTCTCTAATCTCTTCTTATTCTGCTCTACCTTAAGTTTCTAGGATTTGGAAATTTGGAAGCCTAATCATTCTTTTACTTCCTATTTTCCTCTGTTGCCTTCCCTTCCCTTCCCTTCCCTTCCCTTCCCTTCCCTTCCCTTCCCTTCCCTTCCCTTCCCTTCCCTTCCCTTCCCTTCCCTTGTGTTCCTCCCCTGCCTCTCTCCTTTCCTCCTTCCCAACCTCATGGCATACTTAAAATATCCAGGAAAATTGTAAGAAATTTATGACAAACCTGTATATACTTCTCATGTAGATTTTTTTGATGCTGGCTACTTTTTGTGCAAAACATGACAAACTCATTGCTGAACTCTCATTGGTCTTTCTCCTGTATGGAAAGATTTTCTTGGCTCTTTATGAGGGTCATTGTTAACTCAAAAACCTCAGTTACAAAATATCCTGGTTCCTGTAAACCCCACACACAATATGGAAATAAATACCCCAATAGCATTATCCTTTACACCACAGTCTGCTGATTTCCTTCATAGCAGTGATTATACTCTGTAATCATAGCAATCATTTGTCTGATTCCTTGTTTATTATTTTCCCCTAAATTTTTTATTTAATCAACATCTGGCATATAGTTAGCATTCATCAAATATTAATGAAATAAATATATTTAAACAACATTTAGTTTAAGGATGAAAGAATGCATATTCAGTGAAAAATTTGTAACTGACATAATTAATATATTTCTTTACTACCCACTTTTTGCAATGGTAAGATTTAATATTTACTTTTGCTTTCGCTGTGTCAGAAACTTCTCCTAAGTCCTTCATAGACATTATTACATTAAAACATATATTTTGAGTATGTTTGTCTACAACGCAATTTGTGATGACTGAATGGTATATATTTTAAGAATCTATCATACATTATTTAATAATGTTCCATTGTTTTAAAAAAGGTTATTTATTTTTATTTATTTGAAAAACATAGTGCCAAAGAGAGAGGGGTGGGGTGGGGAGAGGTTGCATCTAGCAGTTTACTTTCCAAATGACCACAACAGTTAGGGCTGGGACAGGCTCAATCCAGGAGCCAGGAACTTCTAGGTCTCCCACATGATTGGTAGTGACTCAAGTACTTGAGTTATCATCTGGTACCTCCCAGAATGCATTTTAGCAGGAAGCTGTATCAGAAGCAGAGGTAGTACTCTGCTAAGGGATGTGAGCATCCCAAGTTATAGCTCAACCTGCTAAGCCACAATGCTCACCCATTTTTAATTTTAAATAATTTTTGCTCTCTTTTTCTCCATCTCCTGATCTCTCTGTCTGTCTGTCTGTCTCTTGATCTCTCTCTAGATCTCTTTGTTACACTCTCCTTCTCCCTCTTTTTCCTTCTTTGCCCCTTCCCTCCGGTCTGTCGGGTTTCCTCCAATAAACCCTTTCCCTTAAAAAAATAAATAATTTTGAAATAATTTTCCACTCTTGAACATTAGCTTGTTTCCAGTTTTTCCCCCCTTTTTTAAATGTTTTAACATGTACATTGCCTCATATACTTATGCTTTTTCTAGGGAGAACATTTAAAATCTATTCCCTTTTAGCAATTTAAAAACACAATATATTGTTGTTAACTACTCACAATTTAAGTGTACTTAAATTTTTACTTCGTTAAGTAACAAATCAAAAAAATTCCATATATGAGGGCACTTCACAAAGGTCTGTAGAAAATTGAGTTAAAGGATGATTTTTTTGGATGAACTGTTTTAAGACCCCTATAACTTTGATGGTTTCTTTAGGGTAAAGAACTAGAGCTATAGGGTCAATGAAGTGTTCACATTTTTAGCTTTCAAGTTTGTTTGCCAAAATAAACTTCAGAAAGTTTTAATACTTTGGAATTTTCACCAGTAGAATAGGAGCTGCCTTAAGACAAAGAAATAGATTTGTCTGGATGTAGAGAATAACATTTTCACACAATATCTATTCCAGCAGATGTTGAGTGAACATCTGTCAGGAGTGCTAGAAAGGGAACTCAATTGGGTAACAGTTGGTTTATAAATTTTAATGACCTTTTCAACTCTCCAATTTGTAAAGATACTATTTCCTGTTTCTCATTCCTTACTGCTGAATTCTCTCAAAACAGCATTATAATAAAGACTTGTTGATCTTAATGCCAGGATTACCTTCTGGTTTCTATTTACAATTCTCATTAGGTCTTATGTTTGCATTTCCAAGTAAACAAAACGATATCTCTTCATTATTTTCTTCATGAGTAATCTCTTCCTAAAACAAGCAAACAAGCATCAGCATTGCGTCTATAACAATAATCTTATGGGGGGAATTCTTTTTTAAATTCCGTGTTTGCACCTTGATAAAACCGTTTTTCTCTTGTGTGTGTGTGTGTGTGTGTGTGTGCTGGGAGGTGGAATACATGGAGTTAATACTTTATCCCTATGAAAGTAAAATCTTTGTGAGAAAGTTTTCTCATGTGTTCATAGTGGGAATAAAATAGCTTTATAAAAATTACAAGGTAATATGCTTAAGTGAACTTTATATTTTCACTGTGCTTTTAGATTACAGACTTCCAAGACCGGCATGATTATTTATATTTTAGGCTAATGCAAGATAAAATGTTTCATCAGAGGATTGATTATTTCATAATTAAATTGTCATTGAACACAGTGGTGCTGAAGTTCATTTGGGGAAAATTATTGACATGGATATTGTGCCACAATATCATGCATATATAAAAAGCACACCAACATAAGTTCTTTGTCTGAACACTGTACAATCAATATTCTATTACCACAATGCTGGTTTTGCTGCATTGTAGCTAAATTAGTCTGTCAGGTATAGAGATGGTTAAATCAGACACTCAAGTAACCAGGATAACACAAGAATTCTAATTATTTTCTAACCTCACAACCTCACATACATCTCTCAAAATTTCTCCCAGTGCATTTCAGAAATACCTCTCAATTTGAATGGCATTAAGATATTTACAAATACCTAACGGAATATGTTAATTTGTATTATTATCCAGGAAATTATGTGACAAAAACCACCTTTCAGTAATGATGATAATAACATTTGTATGAGTCCTCACAGTTAATATCCAGTGGCTAATAACTTTCGACTTGGTATAAATGTAATTAAAACCTTAAAAGTATGAAAATGTAAGCTATTTCAAAAACGTAAATGGAGTGTGGAAATGTTCCTGAAATACTAATAAATTTCCACAGTGAGAGTAAAGTATCTAATGTGTATGTTATATGTATAATCTTTTAACTGGAAATTTATTAGGAGAAAGAGAAATATAATCCATACACATATGTTATGACAATATGTAACATTGCTATCTTCAGAAAGGCATAGAAACTAAGAAATATTTTGACCTTATCCTAAGTGGTCTTACACCATTTTGATGTTTTTATTAAATAAAATCCAAATTCCTAATGGCTACTGGTCTTCACGTTAAAAAAGTTTTATTTACTTATTGGAGAAACAGAAAGAGACAGAGAGAGAGAGAGAGAGAAAGAGAGAGAGAGAGAGAGAGACAGAGATCTCCGATTTGCTGGTGCACTTCCTAAATGCAAGCAAAGCCAGGGCCTGGGCTAGGCTGATGCCTGGAGTGGGGAACCCAGTCCAGGTTTCACATGGGTGGCAGGAACCCAGTTACTTGAGTTGTCACTGCTGCCTCCCAGTCTGTGCATTAGCAGGAATCTGTAGTCAAAAGCCGGAGCCAGAACTCTAACCTATGCACACCTAGGGACATGGGCATCTTCCAGCCCAAACACCAACCTCTTGTGTCTTCTTTTTTATTTATAAATGGGAATTGATGAGCTTGTGTATATTGTCATGATAGATTTCTTAGCATCTTCAAGACTTACTTGCAATTTTGTCTACTTTTTTTGAGATTTTAATTTTTATTTCATTCTGTGATTTTAGAATAACCTTAGGAATTAAGGTGTGTGTGTGTGTGCAGGTGTGTGTGCATTTATGAAAAACAGGACTGGGTTGAGAATAGCAAATTATTTTTTAAAGATTTATTTTATTTATTTGAAAGAGTTACAGAGAGAGGTAGAGACACAGAGACAGGATTCCATCCACTGGTTCTCTCCCCAGATGGCTGCAATGGCTGGAGCTGAACTGATCCGAAGCCAGGAGGCAGGAGCTTCTTCCTGGTCTTCCACGTGGGTGCAGGGGCCCAAGGACTTGGGCCATCTTCTACTGCTATCCGAGGCCATAGCAGAGAGCTGGATTGGAAGAGGAGCAGCTGGGACTAGAACCAGCACCCATATGGGATGCCGGAGCTTCAGGTCAGGTCTATAACCTTCTGCACCACAGCGCTGGCCCCGAGAATAGCAAATTTAACATATGTTTTTGCGCAACTGTAAAGTAAAGCTGGCATTCTGTTTTTCTTTTTGTTATAAATCATGATTGAATTAGTGTGGCTGAATGGTGGCACATTAGTTTCAAAAATTCCTGAAAAGATTCGAAGTATTTAATCTAAATTGGTTGAAACATATTTTGCAATGTCTCCACAAATTACAGACTGTATTATACAAATTATACATTTGTTTTTGTAGATCTGCAAGGACAGCTTTGGATGCGTTTGTGGAAAAATGCCTGGTTGTTCTTCAGGAGCTGCTTTTCTTTCAAGCTAAGTAGCGTAACAATGTTTTGGTTCTTTTTCTTAATTTGTGTGTGTGTGTGTGTGTGTGTGTGTCTGTGTGTTTATGGTTGCAAAGAATAGAGATTTGACTTGTCCCCACTCTTGGTAATTCAGAGTAAAATTGTGAGGGCACAAACCGTAAGAAAAAGCCAAGCAATTAGCGTTACAGAAGGTGAAATTTCCAGAAGGTTGCTGAGGCTTCAACCACAGAATCAGGGAGGTTTGCTCTGGTCTTGCCCTTTTAGCGTGACCGGGCTACTCCCCAAATGCTTGCTTTTCTCTTTACCATTTGGTTTTCAAATCTCACATTTTATTATGTCCCTCCTGATTTCTTCTTCTCTTCTTGAAATTTGACTTGAGAAATCGACAGAGTGAGATCTTCAGTCGTCTGGTCGCCTGGTGTCCCTCCCCCTAGCCCCGCAATGCCCATAACATCCAGGGCTGTGTCAGGCCCAAACCAGAAGCTGGAAACTGAATCCAAGTCTCCCCTGTGGTTGGCAGGGACCGAAGAATCTGTGGCATCACCTGCTGACTCTCACGGTGCACATTAACAGAAAGCTAGAATTGGGAGCAGAGCGGGGACTTGAACTTGGGCACTCTGAAATGGGAGGCAGGCATCTCGACGAGTATCTTAGCTGTTAGGCTGAACATCCTCCTCCTAATTTCTATACCTCATGATATTGAGTTTTATACAGAGGAGTCTATACAACCTCACAGGTGTATGGGGGGAAACACAACATGTCACCAGCACTGAGACTGAGAGGGTTGATATGCCAAAAGGGGACACACGACCAGGACAAGAAATGCTATAGGTGATAACCAGACAATGAAAGACCAGAAATGACAAGGTACCCTGACTTGGTAAGATTTAGCAAAAATAGGTGCCTGTGAGGTACTCAAAGTTTAATCATAAACATGTGAGCAAATGAACATTTCATGACACTTGAGTTTTGAGACTGAGTAAAATTCAAACCAGCTACACAGGCAAATCATCTAAAATGGGAGTTCTCTGTCTATCATACCTACTTGTCTCAGAGAGGGCCATCCACGCTAAGCCAAGTCTCAAGTATTCATTTATTTATAAGAATTCATGGGACTCTAGCATAGTGTGAAAGCATGTTAAATCCCAATTTCTGCTTTCAATTAATAAGTAAAGTTGTCTGCTTAATAATGGATTTTGTTTTCTATCAGAGAATCTGTGGCTTGGACACATTTTCTTTTGGCAGCTTCCAAAATACATTCTCTTCTCCTCAGTTCCAAAATGTCCGACACTTCGATTAACTCTTATTGATCTCTCCTACTGAATCTCCAGGATTATTATTATTTGGTGGAGAGATGACATAATCTTTAGGGGCTCACTTGCTTCTCAAAGATAAAAATTAAAGCAATTTATGGCTTCTCTTAAAAATAAAATAAATATGATATTTTACAATTATAGCCAGTGAACACAAAAACTTTAAAGAGTAAAAATGTCCTTTACTGGAGGTGAGAGGTTAAGAGCAGAGTTGAGTCAGAGACATGGCTCACATGAGTTTCTTGGCAATAAAAAGCGTGTTTTACATTTTTACACACTGCGGTGATGGATGACATGTCATCGACATGACTACATCAAAATAGAAATGCCAGACTCTTCCCATCGGGAGGTTGCTGGAGGAACACGGGAGTCCAGAGGCTGACCTGTCGAGAACGTGAGTCCATTGTACAACTGTGATTTCCTTTAACAGCAAGGCATCAAGCGAGTAAATAAACCTTTCAAAATAGATTATGTATATTTGAGACTATGCAGTTCTGCTTTGTGGCAAATGGTATCCAAATGGCTGGCACAATATATCAGCACCTTTTCAAAAATCATTTTCTGCAGTGGTGTCAATATATTCTCTCAAATTAACATTTTCATCTGTCATCTTAGATTCCGTGTGAACACGGTTACTGTGTAAGTACAGATAGGGAGGGAGAGGGGAGTGGGAGAAACATTTGCAGTTTACCAAATCTTGAGTTTATGAAGTACTGAATGTCACCCATTTGTGACCACCTTCTGACACCCAACTTATAATCCTGCCCTGAAAAATTATTCCAACCTTCATTAATCATGAAAGGAGGAGGAAAGATGAAACGAATTAGCAAAGCAGACTCTGATTTTAAGTGGGGTAAAAAATTATTTGACACATGTAACACGATCCTCAGCAAAGGGCAAAGCAATTTTCAGTCTGCAACCAAGCTGTGCCAGTGTGCAGTGAGTAAGAGGATCACATAGGCAGCCCCCTCTCCTCCTCGATCCTGCTCTAGGGAATCCTCAGGCCGTTCTGCTATAAAATTAAATTAGCACTTTCGGATAGGAAGAAAGTTGGGTTCGAATTTTCTTTATGATGAATACTTTGAGGGATTTGCTCTGTGAGAAAGCTTAATTACTTTTTTTCCCATAAAAATGTCTCTCTCGTGTTCTAGCTCCAGGGAGAGAACTTTAAAAAGGAGGGAGACTTTCTAGAAGGTGTAGTAGGTCCCTCAAATATAGGTACTGAATAGCTGAGGGAAGAACACCCTTTTCCCTCCCGGTTAAAAAGCAACAGTGTTCTTTTTACTGAATGCTGATGACAACTGATGGCTTGCTGTGGTTAAATTCCTTTATTGTGCCAACTCAGCTCTATACTCTCTATGTCACGGATATATAATCATGACGGGGCTCCGTCTGTGTTTCTCATTGTTTTAGGACTGCAGGTGGCAGGAGAAGGGAACATAATGTTGAAGAAAAGTCTAGGTACATGTCTAGATTTTACCATTCATTGGCTGGTGAATTAAAGGAAGAGTGGAAACCCTTCTGAGTCTCATTTTCTACATGTCTCAATATGGAGAGAGCAATGTGTACTAGAGAAGTCTCTTTTGTGATAAATAAATTTGATACGGATATATAAGAGAGTTTGATAAACTATAAATGCCATTTAATAATTATTGTAGAAATGAAATAATGATGTGGACTCAGAGCTCTTTGTTAGGTGTTTAGAGTTAGGAACAGTGACACAAGAAGTCCCCAAACAGCATGGGTTTCAGGGATTAAAACCTGAAGCCTGCTGAAACATAATTCTAAATATCGTAAAAATTCCCCGTAAATATTCACTGTGCTATTAAAATAAAAGGTAAATGTTTTCTTTTTAATAAAACTGAAACCTTAGATGGACATCAAATTATCTCAAGATTTCAAAACAAATTATATGATTGCTCAAATTGTTAATTTTGTTTGGTTTTGTTGTTATTCAGAGTAGATAAAGCATAGGTGCATATTAATGTTGGCTTTAAGGAAGTTTACACAATCTTTCTAGAAAGGAACCTATAATAAATAGTTATTATAGGAGTGGAGTGCTCACCATTTGAGAGCACTAGGAAAATACTCTTTCTAGCAAGAGCAACAGTAATGTTTATTAGGTGCTTTCTCTCCAACAGGCCATGCTTCGTTTTACATGTGTTAATGCATTTTTTTCTTGCATTAATCCTACGATGTTGGCACTATGAGATTTTGTTGTTGCTGTTGTTGTTGTACTAGAGATGAAACTGAAACATCCGGAATCTAAGTCAAGATCACACAATTAGTCATTGGTCAAATGTGAATTCAAACCAGGTAGATTTTTTAATCATTATGCCTTATGAAAATTATATATCACCTAATCTTCTTAGTACTTCACCTTATGAAGTATCATCCCTGCTCTGCAGATGAAGCCATAGAATCCCAGAGAGGGCAAATAATAAGCCCAAGGATATATATATATATTGCATACTTCTGATGGAAGCAGGGTTCCACCCATAATATGTCTGGGTTTAAAACTTCACGCTTTTAAACAGGATGCTATTAGCATAACATTAAGAGTTCTAAAATGTTAAAGCGTTTTGACCTAGTAATTGAACATTTCTAACTTTTTATTGAGGGAATGACCAGAAATTTTGATAAACTTGAATGGACAGAAATTTTTTAAAGATTTATTTTGCTTATTCTGAAGGTAGATCTGTATATATATATACATATATATATATATACACATATATATATACACACATTACATGTAATGTGTATATATATATATATGTATAGAAGGAGGGGACAGAGAAGGGGGAAGAGAGAGAGAGAGAGGGGAGAGAGAGAGGGGAGAGAGAGAGAGAGAGAGAATCTTCCATCCACAGGTTCACTTCTCAAATGGCTGCAATGGCTAGGGCTGGGCCAAGCTGAAGCCAGGAGCCAGGAGCTTCTTCAGGGTCTCCCATGTGAGTGTAGGAGCCCAAGAACTTGAGCTATCTTCTGCTGTTTTCCCAAGTGCATTAACAGGGAGCTGGATAAAAAGTGGAGTAGTTGGAACTCTAACCAGTACTGGCATCCCATTATGCCAGCAGGCAATGGCTTAACCCATTATGCCACCATGCTGGCCCATGAACAAAAGATTTGTATAAAAAATAAACTATTGGTAGTATTCTAACTGACCATGGTTAAAGAAATTATGTACATCCATATAATATTATGGCATTATTGAGGTCATGTTCACAGAGTTTTAAATTATATTTAGAGTGACCATGTTATAATGATGTATTGGAAGAACACCATGATATAAAATTAAATTGTTATGTATTATAAATACTTTCAAAAGTCAGTAGAGAAAAAAAAATGGAACATCAAAATGTTAATGAGTAATGCAAAATTTGGATGGTTAGATTATGAACATTTTGATGTTCTGAGTTTTACATGCCAATTTTAATTTTCCTTTGAATTTTCCAAGTTATTAGAAACTTTGATTTAAATATGTAAAGATCAATGTCAAGTTCGCTTTTTTCTGTTTGCTTCAGTACAAATTTCTCTCAAAAGTGCAGCTCTTTACTAGAAGTTTAAAAAATATTTACTATCAGTACATTCATACTAGGTGAGCCAAAATACAGCAAATTATTCAAGTTTGCTTGTTACAGCATTTTTAGTAGTTAAATACAATTCTTTCCATGTTGATCTTCTGATGGAAGCAAATTAAATTTGGTATGTGACCTGTGTACTTTAATAACATATGTTCTACAGCTGACCAAATAGAAAGCATAACCTCTTTTGTTTAGAGACAAAATAAGTTGAATTCTATCCTGCATCAATTGTATATATAAATTTGCTTCACCCCAAGTCTGGAAGATGATGGGTCTTGCTTCAAACCCTAGTGATTGATAAAAGCAAACAGCTGTCAGATTTCCTCTCTTAGTCCGAGGCAGTGCCTGCCCCTGTCCTGTATTCAACACCGGAATCACAGAAGCAAATTTTAGGGAAACATCTCCAATTCCAAAACACATTGCTTGACAATTTCTGGTTACATGTTTACTTGCATTTTGTGATTATGGGCATATCAGTTGCTTTTGAGAGTTTAATGTGTATGTAAGGTTTGTTTGAAGAATAATACTACACAAGACAATATAGTAGGACCATTGTGCACCTCAAGTTTGGACTAAAGTCATTTAGTACAAAGATAAAGATATTGAAGACATAGTCTATCCTGAACTAACCTGGGGAGAAACATCACTGGAGGAATTCTCCTTGAGTGAACACATGAAATAACTGTGGAAAGACAGGATCAGGAGGCAGGACGGGGCTAGCAGGGCCCCCTGCCATCTCTGCCACTTGTATAATTATGACATTTCATTTCATTGAATGCGTGATACACTACCTTAAAATTTTAAAAAAAGTTTTTTGATTATTTGTAAAATGTTCCAGAAATGAATCATATGGCATCTGGGAAAGTGCCTCTAGGGGCTTTAAACAAATCCTCCATTAGTCATGAGCAATAGGCTGAGTTATAAAATCACATCTGGAGAATTACATTTCAAAAGACTCATCCTTTCCCTTTTTATATCACCAGGTGCTGAGCCAGGTGTTCTACATAAATTATCTCATTTGTTTTCTCTGACAACATAATAAGGTAAGTGTTATGAATCCCATTCTATAGATGAGGGAATGAAGGCGCAAACAGTTGACCAGTGTTGGTGAACTCAGGATGCAATTTGACACTGGATCTGCCCAAACACCACCACCTTTGCTCTCTCTAATCACACTAAAGGGAGGGCAGGTCACGCTATTTCAAGGTGCATAGAACATGAAAGGCAAGTGGCAATGAACTTACACAGGGTAGTTATTATGTGACCAGAGAATAGAGAATATGCAATAGATTATATACTAGGATCAATTTATGGTAATGTCGTACAACAAAGAGGTGAAACCATGTTGCGGGTGTGTATGGGGATGAAATTGCCTAGGCAAAGTTATAGAAGAGACCAGGAGGTTCAAAAGCAATCCAAATAGTCCCAGGTGAATTACAAGATCTTGGAAGATTATAGGTGTGGTTTAAGGGCCTTTTTTTCTGGCCCAATTACCTTCTGATGGATGTAGTTTCAAGTACATGCAGGTTTAAAATAATTTAGCTTTGATTACCTGTGGATGGATGTGAGTTGTGGAGAAACAAAATATATTTTCTTTCCTCTTGGGAGTTTTGTGCATTGCATCAAATAGCCTAAATTAAAGGAATTTCATTGGCTTGTACATGTTGATAAAATTACTACTTAAAGCAAGCAGAGGACTTCAATTTTTTAGAAGAAGAGGGAATTAGAGAGGAAATCAGTAAGCTGTGACACCTACACAGAAGTCTTGTTTGAAGTTCAAAAAGGAAATAAGCTATGTAAAAACTTGTTTTTTTTTTTTCCCTCAAGATCTGAAATATTCCAGTACTATAGTCTAAGTCATTAGAAGCAGGAATGTGAAGATCTAATTAAGTAACATGGTAGTTTCCATACAGTACAGTTTTCAGGAAGGAAAGAGACATTTTACAGGAATGTTAACCATATGGTGATTCAGACAAATGAATTTAGAAATATAGGACAACACGGAGCAGAGATGACTCCTATTGAGGGCTCAAAATTAGCTAGGCAGGGACAAGTGCATTATGGGGTTTTATGCTTCTCTTCGAAGGGAATGTTGAGCTCCTTGGATGTTGATGAGAAGAGTTGTGGCAGAATATTTGCAAATTTCAGATGCAGCTTGATGTTAACTGTTCCTCTGGAGACTGCCTGGGCATGGAATCTGGAAGGTACTCTGCGACCGGCAGCTTGTACCAGATGGACCAGGCCAATAGAGGCATATCAGTCAGAAACCACTCCAGCTAGTTTAAGATAAAGGATTAATTACAGTAATTACAATTACTACATTGATTATAGGATCAGTGGGAAAACAGAGAAAACAGAAAATTAAGCATCCAGAGATTACTTTGAGCTCATGTTACAGAGCCAGCAAAAAGAGCTACCACCTTTCCTATGATCAATTCAGTCGCCATGATCAGGGAACAGCCACGCATGATCTGGAATACCAAGAGAAGCCGTGGAGCTACAGCTTCGTTTTCAGTTCTTCCTTTTAATTACTACACAAGTGGAACCTGTGACTGGAGCCTCTGTGCTCTGTGGAGCACAGAGATGTGCTCTGACTTCAGGAAAGCGTATCAGAAGGAAGCTGCGGGCGCCGCGGCTCACTAGGCTAATCCTCCGCCTTGCGGTGCCGGCACACCGGGTTCTAGTCCTGGTCGGGGCGCCGGATTCTGTCCCAGTTGCCCCTCTTCCAAGCCAGCTCTCTGCTGTGGCCCGGGAGTGCAGTGGAGGATGGCCCAGGTTCTTGGGCCCTGCACCCCATGGGAGACCAGGATAAGTACCTGGCTCCTGCCATTGGATCAGCGCTGTGTGCTGGCCGCGGCGGCCATTGCCAATGGAAAAGGAAGACCATTCTGTCTCTCTGTCCACTCTGCCTTTCAAAAAAAAAAAAAAAAAAAGGAAGCTGGATGGATTATGCACTGGTTCACCACATCAAGCACAAGAACTATCACGTGTTTGGAGGCACCACCTCTGGTTGGGATCAGATAGTTCCTGGAGATGGTTCTCCTCATCTCTAATTATCTCTAATTCTTTTTATAAACTTTTTTCTTGACAGAAAGCTTGTTATGTCCACATGATCAAATAGCCAAAAGAACTTAGTTGTTGGATTTACAATTTATGTAACCAAAAGATCAATTCCATTTTCCCCTTCTCTGGAAGAAAAGATATGACACTGGGTTCCTTTCGGTAAGGGTCATACAAGGAGGAGTGCACCTTGCCGTTTCCTTTAGAGGGGTTAGTCCAAATTCTCTACTCTAGCTGGATGGTTCTTTAGCTGTTGATTGCCCAGAGAAAGTGTGCTTTGATTCAGGTCATGGAAGCAGAGCCACACAGAAGATATGCTGTCTGAATAAAGGGAGGAGTTCTTTTGATCTAGGCAGTTTTCTATTTTATATAATGTCCACATCTTTCCTTCACAGAAGATTCTTAGGAACCAGGGTTGCAGACATTACTTGAAATCTGCTTATACATGCAGAAAAACACGTGTGTTCTTTGTTTCCTGAACTCTATTCAGGAGAAGTAATCTATGTACCTTACATATATTTTTAGATGAATATAATTTTATCATAATTTTATATTATTGCAAAAGATGTTCCTTTTGGAGCGTTGTTATTGATATTTTAGAAAAAATGTTACATCACTTTGTAAACTGTGTCTAATATAATCTAAAGAGAAGAACAAAATAACTTCAGAAAAATCCTATGGAATTTTTGAAATGCTCTGAGATAATGCTCAGGATCTACAAATTCTGTTCTCCTCCCTGGCCCCCTTTCTGTGATGCTGTTGGGTGGGGGTTAAGCATGTGTGGAATGGGGGTGACTCATTCAATCTCCTGGCAGAGAGGTGGAGTCATTTCCCAGAAGGCCAGTTGGTGAGAGGGGAAGATAGCACCCTGCCTCCCATGGATATTTAATATACTTCCTCTCTGAGTAGGTCCAGTAATGCTGAAGGGGCGGAAATCAGGACAGGGCTGGCTGTTTTACACCAAAAAAAAAGACATTTTTTTCTTTCCTGTCATATCCTACCACAGAGCTATATCTTTTAGAGCTCAGCTGTGATGATTTTTTGCTTTAAAAAGTCTTTTAATTTTTCACTTGAATGACCTCAAAATGATTTTCAAAATCTATAAATGTTATTGTACATTTCCAAGTTAGTTCCTAAAATGTATCATTCTAACTTTAATAGCTGTAAAGGTATAATTTCTGGCATATGGTAAGTATTGGTATATTTAAAGAACTTGTTAAAACACTTAAAAATGTTCCCAATAGAATCTAAATATTATTGTGACTTGCCTTTGTTAACATACAGTTAAAAAATATGGGCAAGCGCCTTTTAAACAATTTTTCAGTGCTTTTTTTCCCATTAATTTGTATTTCTATGCAGTTTATCCTACCAGATTTTACTCCACTCTTGAGGGTAAAAATGTTTAAGTTTACTATTATAACTTTATCACATATTATTATAAGAATATAATATTATACATAAAATGCTACATTTATAATCAAATATATAACTTGAAATTTATTTTATTTCCTAAGAATTGAAGTTTCATTTTGATATTGTTTTATTATCAGTGTAACACTGGACTTTATGGAATGAGTTTTCCTTCCTAGTTTTGGAATTAGACCATTAACTTTTAAAACAATTATTTGAAATGATTAAAGTCTACCATTGTATTATTTATTTCTGTCCCCTTTGTCTTTTGATTCTCAGTTATTACTCACATCACATGTGAGTTTCTGTCTTATTTTAGATAACTTGAACATTATGCTTTTGATTATATAGCTTCAAGCTATATTTCAGTGATTTTAAGGATTACAACATAAATGTAAACTTTCATAGTCTACCATGATTAATATTATGCGAGCTCATGTGAAACACAGAAAACTTGCAAACATAGTTCTTTTCAACTGTCTTGTCCCTTTTGTTTGTTATCATATGTATGACAGATGTACTTTGAAAATCTCAGTACAGCATATTATAATTTTTGCTTTCAGCAGACCTTAAAAGGAAAAAGTAATCTTGTTTGCTTAGCTAGGTATCTATCTTTTCTATTGTTCTTTTATTTCTAAATAGTCAAGTTTTCTTGTTATTTTTCCCTTTTGGTTTGAAAAATTCTAGTCTGTTATTTCTTACAGATCACATCCATTGATGATGAATTTTACTAGCTTTCCTTCATCTGAGAATATTGTTTCTCATACATTTTTGAAGGAAACTTTTTTTCTGGATAAGGAATTCTCAGTTGATAATTCTTTTATTGTAGCAATTTAAAGGTACTATTCCACTAACTTCCAATCTCCATAATTTCTATTCCGAAATCCATGATGATTCAAGTTGTTCTACAGGTATATAGCTATGTCATTTCATTTCCTGTATGTTCTTCAGTAGTTTTGTTCAGAATTTAGGTTATAGGGAGTTCAGGATTTACTTTAAGTTATCTTATTTGGAGAATTGTGAAGGATCTGAGATTTTTACCCTACTTGGAGGCTGATTTGTTAGTTTCTATAGTTTAGCAGATGCTGGGAAGAGATGTGATGCTACTCCTAGATGAGATAAATGACTTTATTACTTATGGCACTGCAGGTAATATGAGTCTTATATTCACATTGGTTTACCTTTCTCTCGTATCTCATGGTACAATGTCCAGAAAAGTGCTGTATTAGGTTTGAACCATTGCTTTTGGATGACCCATATTTTAAATGGACTGAGAGGAATTGTTGTCATACATTTTGCCTGAAAGGACACATTATCTTTTTATATAATGATCAGGAAACAAATCTGCCTTCTGTCTTAAAAAAAGTTATTATCTCCATCACCCCAGATTTTTTTCCTAGACAAATATGCTTGAATACATAATCTAGAAGAAAAGCTGTTGTAAAATGTCATAAATGTCATTGAGAATTGTCCTCTAATAAGGAAATGCTGGACTTCTTGAAATCTGCTAACACCTAACCTTTAAGATTTAAATAATGCTTTGCCAACTTTTTTTTTAAAGATTTTTGTTTAA